ATAAAAAATTATTTCTAATTTTTTTTATCTAATTGGACAAACCAAATATCAAATCCCTTGTCATTTAGGCATAAGATGGCCATATTTGGCCACACGAGGCAGTCCCAAAATGGCAATTAACGACAGTTAACAGCAGTTAAGTTGCTGTGCCAGTAAGGGCTAAATTGCTTCTATGGTAGAGTTCAGGGGTTTATATGCATCAATTAAAGTCTGGGGGCTTAATAGCGATTCTGGTATTAGTTCAGGGGCTTTACTTATGGTTTTGCCATGAATCTAGTGACAATGATGATGATGATGATGATGATGATGATGATGATGATGATGATGATGATGATTATGATGATAATGGTAATGGTAATGAATCTAATGACAATTATGATGATTGATGAAAGGAAGAAGCATTTGTGGATAAGATCAGCTGTTCGAACTCAAGCAATTGATATCATACGTCTCCCGCCATCCAACTAATAATCGCCACATAATCACCATTGTTGACTTCTCAACCGACAATCAGAGACATGTCCCAGGCACGTACCAGTCTAAACAGACAAGTTATATCATCAGATACGCAATAATATAATTAAAATGGTACCGAAAAATTATAAATTTTTAAATATTATTATTATTATGTGTTATTTAATAAATAAAAATATTTTTTAATTTAAATTATTTTATATTATAAAATATTAATTATTTAATAAAAAAATTTTAATAATTTTTATTTTATAATTTAAAATAATTTAAATAACATGATAATTATTGATTGTACCATTTTATGAATTTATAACATATATATAATTTATCCAATCATTTTCTACCAAATAGTCTAACTTTATCATGTTGAAGGTTGTCAGGGTAATCATAGATTATAACAAATACGCATTATAATGAAACATCATACCATATCATGTGGACCCATTCCTAGTTTTAGGTTCGTCCATTAAAAGATGGGAGTCAGTTAATACCAAAAGAAAAGCTTATTATTACTATTATTAAGATTGCAAATCTTATTAGTGTATTATATAAACTCAAAATAATCTACATTGCTCTTTAAAAATGTTAATTGTTAAAAATAAAAAAAAAAGTGGTTGTTCCTTGATTAATAATTAATGTGGTAATTTTTTATAATTATAAAATCTACCATTTACGTAAGATAGATTACAAATTGCAAGACCTTCTTTCGTTGCGAATTTAATCGAACGAATTTCGTGCGAGCTCCCCCAAGACGTTCGACCTCTCGCCCGATCTTTTTTTCTGTTTTAGAAAATTATAAAATTACATATCAAAAATTCCTCTAAATTAAATAGATCCCTTCCTTAAGAGGTAAGCTAACCACCAAAACAGTTGTTGTTAGTTTCTATCTTTTTACACACCATTTTTAGGCGCAGGCTTTTCACTCTCGCTCAGAATCAGAATGAATCACTGCCCTCAAAACTCAACCGGAAATCTCGCCGCCACCACCACCGCAGCCGCCGCCGCCGCCACCGCC